TTGTGGTATCTGCTTCTCTTTCCCAGGTGGCGCGTGCAGGCTCGCCACCGTCTCGGGTGCGCTGATCAGCCCCCCCGGGTAAAGACGTTCTGGTTCCTCTTGCATGTGGGATTTTCAAAAATACGTCACCGCGGGGTCACGCCGCTGTACTGGCACCTGAGCGATGGGGGCTGCTTTATTGAAGAACCAGCTTGCAGATCCACGGGGGCGACGGGTGTGCATGTACTTCCTACGGTTGGTAAAGGGTTCTACTCTAAGAAACTGGCTTCTTCTCCGACTCCTGCTGATCGCGGAATTCGTTCAAGGACGGAGGGGGGACGCGGCGGTGCTAATATGCCTCAACAGGGCGCACGCACAGTATTTGCCTTAAGGACCTTAGCAACGCCTTCGGCAGCAGCACATATAAGCCCATGTCAGTCTCAGTCAACTTGCACGCCTCGGACCAGGATGCCCCCTTGTGCACCCAGCGCTTCGAGAACGCTCACATCGTCTTGCCCTCTAATACAGAAGGGGTGGTTGTCCGACCGCGCCAGGGGGGGATGATGGGCGACCCGTTCATGGTTCGGATGTTCCTCGCTACTTTTACACGTCCAGTGGTGGGGTGGAGCTGCGACCTTATGAGATGGGATAGTTCGGAGGCTTGATCGCTTCCTGGGGCCCCCTTCGAGTCGATCTATCGCTTTTGAAATTCGCCGACGACCTCAACAATATCGCCCTGGCTGATGAGGGAAGCAGTGTCGGGGAGTTCATGGCTAAACTTCGGTCGGTCGACGATTCCCTGGACGCTCGTCTTGCTCCCTTCGGATACGGACAACATGCCAGCAAGCAAGAGTTCATATCCCACTTCAGCCAGAACGGTCACACTTGCCGCTGCCTACTTCGTTCTACCAAGCCACTGCAGGGTGCATGCAAGGACGAGGCGAGGTACCTGGGATCCCCATATGGCATTCAGAGGTTCAGCGGCTCATGAAATCACTCGTCGGCTTCAGGCTTTGCGTGTAGCATTCCACAGCCTGGGGGGCATTTGGTCACTTCGCCCCCCATTATCGGTGGGAACGTCTGTTACTAATGGGCTTTGGTCAGGATGCCTTACTGAGCGGACTAGAGGCCTTGGTGCTATCGGCTAACGATTGCATTCGTCTTGGCAGGGGGCTTCCTGCTCTTGGCCGCATCGCTCTGATGGGGAAGGCGTCGACGGCGACGGAGTTTGCGCAGGACAGATCATCTGACCATGTCAGGAGCTTGACTACGGAGAAGGTGCTGGCGCACTGGCGCCTTGCCCCCAGCGTGATCGAGCTTCGGACGAGGAGATTAGGGATGCACCAGTCGTGGGCGAAGGACCCAGCCCACAACTCCCAGGTCTTGTGCTGCCTGTTCGGTTCTACTCCCATGGATATCGATCGTCCGCAACTGTCCAATGGCCGTCCTACTGGCTTCACGTCTCCGTGGGTAAGACAGATACAGTCCGACATTGTGGAGGCAGCTGCTATCCTGGATAGTTGTGCCCTTGATGAACTGGCTGATGATTTGGAGATCCTGGGGGATGCCGAGGAGGCCTCGGAGTTTGTCGCGTTAGATTTCTCTGAGCTCAGGGCAAGGGTCTACTTTATAAATGTACCGCCACCTGGAGGAGGAGGAAATGGGCAAGGAGATGGGAACAAGATGGACATGTTCTTAAATGTGTTAGAACATGTCAAGATCTCAACCCATAACAATGAGGAGGCGGAGGTGATGGGGGAGGAGCTCAGGCTGGCATGTGGCATGTCTTTGGGGACAGGTCATGCATGTGAGGCGACCTTCTACGCTAGGCGTGATTTAATGAATCACTTACGACGGGTTCGCGGTCATCGCAGTCTATGCCACCAGACTACCCCGAGCAACATCTGCATTAACTGTAAGCAAAGATGTGGCAGCCGGTCTGACGCAGCTCGGCACCTACAGGGTTCGTTGGCCAGGGGAAGTTGTGAAACACGGGGGCCTTCAACATTGAAGTCTACTGCGGCGGCCCCAGCTCCCCCGGCATGTCCCCTATGTCCGCGCGAGGGCCCGAACCTCTTGCAGCTGCGCGACCACTTGCGCAGTCATCTCCCTTTCCAGCTTCCCGCGCTTCACTCTTCACAGGAACATGCCAGAGGGGGCAGCGGCGGCTGCGGCGGCGAGCGGATCGGGATCGGGAGACGTGCTGATGCCCTCCTTGTTCAAGCTGCCAGGCAAGAGGGGGGCGGAGATCGAGGGGAACGGCGGCGGCGGCAAGAAGGGCGGGGCGGACGACCGCTCCAACCACGGCGGCGGGGGCAACAAGCAGGAGCGGCTCCGGATGGCGACGAGCAAGCTCGTCCTCGTGATGTTCCGCGAGCTCGCCGACCTGTCGTCCGCCGTGTTTCTCAAGTACGAGGTGCTGGCGTCGGGAGGGCGAGTGGCGGCGTGCCAGCAGGCCGGGCGCGAGTACGACCAGGAGTCGAAGAAGCTCAGGGAGAAGAGCAAGAGCGGCGAGAAGGTGGACTTCCGCAAGAGGGGGCCACCACATGCGTCCATCGTCATGGGCGCGGCATACTACGGAGCGACGTTCACGCCGTCATCGGGCCCCCAGCAGCAGGAGCAGGAGGAGCTCAAGAAGAATATGGTGGAGATGTGGGGGATCGTCAGGCAGGGAGAGGTGCTGACGGTGGCGAGGGCGTGCCCGTACTTTCGGGTGAGGATTTTTCGGAGGGAGGAGGGCGCCCCCCAAAAAGGGGCCATCTACATGACGTTCCATCGGGATGTGGAGCTGGGCCAGATGATGGCGACGCTCTTCGGGAAGCTCGTGATCGCGGGGGGAGGGGGGGGCACCTTCCAGGGCCAGCCCCGCGGGGGCCACTGGATCGAGAAGTATCATCACAGATCGGGAGCGATCGCAAGTGGGCCGAATGCAATCTAGTCTCAGATTCCAGCAGCTCGTAGCTAGAGGTATTGTGAATCAGAATGCCCCCCTCGGGGCCTTGCGGGCCCGTTCTGTGGGGGGGGATGCACGTGCAGTGCCTAGCTACAGTCAGCCAGATCTGCCAACAGTACCAGTCGTAGGTCTTCCGCCTCACTTGAGAGGCCTTAGTATGGGGAGGGGGCGGGCGTCGTCCAGTCGGGTGTCGGGGGGTCGGGGGAGGGGAGAAGACTCGCCCCGTGCCTGAGTGCCCACCCAGCAGGGCTGCGTGCCCGCGCGCTGGTGTGTGGCTGGGGCCAGTGCTGCTCCGCAGAGCGCGGCGCTGGGCCGTGTGTCAGGCTCGTGGCACACAGTGCGTCTCGGAATCCAGCACACTTGTACGGTCGGAGTCGGCGATGCCTGGCTCTCACGTTGTGTGACCTCAGTGGATTCCCAGAGTTCCAGTCCAGTCCAGTCTTCCTCCTCCTCCTCCTCCTCCTCCTCCTCCTCCCCCTCTTCCTCCTTTCAAAATGATAACAAACACTGGCAACATTTGCCGACGACCGGCTCATTCACTCACAGAAGAGGCTCCCGCCTCATACTTCCGAAATACTCAAGCCCCAGGATCCCAAAAGTGACGACAGTTACAGGGTTCCGATGGCCCGCTCGGATTACTAACATGATCTGCGGGCCACATAGGGAGGAGGCTCTCGCCTGAGACTTCCTCGCAATTCACTGACAGGCACCCGCCGCATATTTTGCAAATATTCAGGTTTCAGGAGCCCAAAAGTGACGACGGTTACAGGGTTCCGATGACCCGCTCGGGTTAATAACATGATCTGCGGCCCACATGGGGAGGAGGCTCCCGCCTGAGAGTTCCTCGCGATTCACTCACAGGCGAGGCTCCCACCTGATTCTTCCTCCACCTTCAAGCCGCAGGAGCCCAAAAGTGAGGACAGTTACAGGGTTCCGATGACCCGCTCGGATTAGTGATTGATTTGCGGGCCTTATAGGGTGGGGGGCTCCCGCCTGAGACTTCCTCGCAATTCACTCACAGACGAGGCTCCCGCGTGAGATGAGTGAGTGAATGGATGAGTGAGTGAGTGAGTGAGTGAGTGAAGATGATGAGAACGATGATGATGAATATGGTTATGCTGGTGATGAGGATGATGATGATGCTGATGATGAGAGCGCGAGTGAGTGGGTGAGTGGGCGGATAGGTGGGTGACTGAGTGGGTGAGTGCGCGAGTGAGTGGTGATGATGAGTGTGTGTGTGTGTGTGCGTGGGTGCGTGAGTGGATGAGTGAGTGAGTAAGTGTGTGTGTGTGTGTGAGTGTGTGAGTGGGTGAGTGAGTGGGTGTGAGAGTGAGTGTGAATGATGATGTGTGTGAGTGATTGAGTGAGTGAGTGTGCGATTAGAGTAGACGAGAGGGTTTGTTCTCTTGTTCCTGCGCGGGGTGCCTCGGGAAAACAAGAACGCAATTTTGGATGTGGGGAAAAGTAGTATGGGGAACATTTGTCGATTATTATTTGAGCTATTTTTGATTTTTTGAATTTTTTTTAACTTGTCCTCCAAAATCCGCCTGTAGGAGGACATGCCCGACCTAACACAAAGTCAGTTTTTTTCTGAGATCCGCGCGGATGTTCCTGGATCGGCGCTGGCGGCGCCTCGGGCGCCGCCCCTGGCGCGCTCCGCGCGCCAGGGAAGGATGCCCAGCGCCGATCGAAGGAGTCCGCGCGGACCTCCGAAAGTTTATGTTGGTGCTGTTGGCCTGGACCCCCAACGCCATGACTCTTTGGCAACATCGACCCCTGAGGTCTCGACCTATTTTCCTGGACTGGCTTTTCATCCCTCCAGTAGTGGATCGATTGCATAAGTGATTTACCCCAAACTTGATTTGTGCGTCGACTCTACGACAAATGCACCGAGCAAGTCAAGTTTGGGGTACATCGATTCTGTAGTCGACACCCTACTCGAGTCCTGAGTCGTTGTTGGCGGTCCACGGGCCCTGCGAGGGCCCAGAGGCCAGAACTCGCAACAACAAAAATAACACGTCCGTCCCGATGTGTTCACGACGCGAGGGGGTCTGATCTCTCGCACCAGGAGAAGGTCCTGCCGTGCGCTGGCGACCTGGTGGGCATCGCCCTGAGGCGCATGGTGGAGCTTGTGGCGCCGATCGACCAGTGCTGCGCCAGGCGGAGCGAGGCCAGGCCGCCCACCGCTGGGGGAGCTGTGGTCTTCAGCCCCCAGGGGGCCCGTCGGTTTCGATGCCCCTCTCAAGACGCAGACCCGCTCGTGTCGTCAAAACAGCGCGACGGCTTGTTATAGACAGATCTGTATATACACACACATGTGCATGGACATGAGTATATGTATATGTGCGTACATAGATATACATATATATATGGTTAGTATATATGGTTAGGGCAGTTAAATATGCACAGATGCATGTATGTATGAATGTATGCATGTATGCATGCATGCATGAATGTATGGATGTGGGAATGTATGCATGTATGTATGTATGCATGTATGTATGCATGTATGCATGCATGTACGTATGTACATAGGGTTGTATACACATGTAAATATGTGTACATGGATATATACATATCCCTATACAAGTATATATATATGCATATATAGATGTGTATGCATGTATATTCAAGCATATGATATGATATGATATGATATGATATGGTATGGTATGATATGATATGATATGATATGATATGATATGATATGATATGATGTGATGTGATGTGATGTGATGTGATATGATATGATATGATATGATATGATATGATATGATATATATGTATACACATATATATATGTATATATATATATGTATATATATATATGTATGAAGAGCGCGTTTTGTACGCGCCTGGATAGGGGGGGGAGGGGTCGGAACTGGCCCCCCCCCTGGATGGGTTCGAACCCCACCTCCGCCCCCCCCTTCACGGGGGGGTGGGGGGTTCGAACCCCCCCCCCCCCGGGGCGGCGCCAGCGCGGGCGCCAGCCAGCGGCAGCGGGGAGCGGCGCCCCCATAGCCAGCTGGACGATCCACGCGGGCATTCCCAGGCGAGCCAGGATGCTTGGGAGTGTCTTCGGGTCGATGCCGTCGTAGGCCTTCCGCCAGTCCGCCGCTGCGCCACGGCGAGCACCTCCGACAGAGCGCCCCGGCGCCTTCCAGCTCCACCGCGGCGAGCTCCCACACGAGAGCTCCTCGGCGCCCCGCTGCTGGGCGCCCTCTCCGGCCCAGCCGAGGCGCCAGCGGGCGAACACGGCCGCGCGCGGCCAGCGGCGCAGGTACGGCAGATCGAAGTCGGGCGTGTCCCTCTTCAGGAGGAATGCTCAAAAATTGTCAAAAATAGTCTGGGAACGATTTTCCGTTATGTGTTAACTCTTTTGGGGCATTCTTTTATAGTTTTCGCCCCAAATTTGCCTGTAGGAGGACATGCCCGACCTAACGGTAGATCACGGGGAGGAGCCAGATCGGCCGACGCTCCATGGGCCCAGCGCCCCCGCTCGGCTTGGGGAGCAAGAGCCCCTCGGGCTCCGCCAGCTCGAAAGGCCACTGGACGCCGGCTTCCACAGCCTCCAGGACGTCTGCGATCCAGCTGTGCAACTCCCGCGGCAGCAAGCGCAACTCTTTGATCGACCATCCCTCCAAGCCGGCCTTCTTCCGGCGGGGCCTTCGCCGGAGGATCTCGGCCACGAGGTCCGCCGTCCACGGCCCCCGTGCTGGGAAGGCGGGCAGCCCGTCTAGCTCTTGCAGCCACTCTTCACCCAGCTGCGAGGCCGACCGCCTTTGCCACAGCCGCAGCCAGGGGCCCTCGAAGAAGCGCAGGCGGGCTTCTGGGCCCCCCCTCGCAGCGCCAAGGCCAAGGCTCAGCTCCGCAGCCCTGCTGCCTCTCCGGAGGCCGCCGGGCCCATCGCGGGATCTGGCACGAGCTTGGCCTCGAGGGCGCGGCCGCCTCGGATCCAGCGGTGAAGGCGGCCCTGCTCGTTGAACACGCTCGCCTGGACCCAGTCGCGCAAGGTCTCCCGTCGGCGACTGCGGGCGGCCCCGCGGACCGAGCGCCAGGAGACCTCCGCCTGCTCCAGCACGTGTTCGGGGAGCACACCCGCGCCAGGCTCCCTCTGGGGCCCAAGCGTGCCAGGCACGCCTGGCGCGCCAGATGCGCCACGGGCGCCGTGCGTGTCGCGTGGTCCAGCCACGCCAGGTGCGCCACGGTCGGGGTCAGGTGCAGCGTGTGCTGGGTGCGCCCGCGCACGTGACAGCACACATCGGGAATCACGGTTGGCCCCCACCATCTTTTCCGAAAACCCATGCACAATCGCGGCGGGAAGGCCATACGATATCTGCACACAGCAGGCAATATGACAGCACCCCCGCCGTGCTTGTCAGAAAGCTATGGACAGTGATCCATCTCGGGGTGGCCGCGCATGAAACAGATTTAGCCGCGAAGTGCATGCTGCATTTTTGTTTGTTTCGGACAGGGATCGTGGCTTTGCGCATACATCAGGCAACATGAGACCCCCTACAAAGTGCTCGCGGGGCCCACGAACGTGACCTAAGCTGTTGTCCAAAAGTGTATTTGTGTTGTTTTTTGGCAGGGATGGGCGGGGGGGGGGTGTCATTGGTCCTGGTCGGCTGGCGGTCGCCTGGGAGGGGGTGTTCATTAATAGGGAACAGTGATAAGCCTCCCCAGACGAGAAGAGGGAACATGGAAGAGGAAATTCACAAAACCACTCACGCCCTAAAGGGCTGGTGCGATTCTGCAGTCGATCTCCCACTACAGGTCTGGACCCCTTTCCCAGGACCGGCTTTCCTTCCCGAGCCGCTTCTGACGGTCCCAGGGCCGGGCGCGGGCCCCCAGAGGCCGAGTCACCTTGGCCAAGAACCCAACCCAGTCTACGGACATGGAAGTGACCAACATGACCGCTCAATGCACAACAACTCGGTAGGGGGTTCCACAGTGCCCCTCGGTGGAGCTCCCCACGGGGCCACGAAGCGTCTAAGGGGTCTGCCGAAACGGGGCGGCGGGTCCCCTGTGAGCCCTGCCACTGGGGCCCTCGGTGGAGCCCCCAATGGGGCCGCGAAACTTGTGGTGGGGGGTCTGCCGATATGGGGCCAGTACCCATGTGAACCCTGCCACAGGGGCTCTCGTTGAAGCTCCCTATGGGCCACAAAACGTGTGACCCTTCCACTGGGGCCCTCGGTGGGGTTCCCCATGGGGCCACGAAATGTGTGAGGGGTCTGCCGACATGGAGCGGGTACCCATGTGAACCCTGCCACTGGGGCCCTCGATAGAGTCCCCCTTGGGGCCGCGAAACGTGTGAGGGGTCTGCTAGAATAAGGCGGGTACCGTGTGAACCTTGCCACTGGGGCGTTCGGTGGAGCTCCATATGGTGCCACGAAACGTGTGAGGGGTCTGCTGGAATGGGGCGGGGTACCACTGTGAACCCTACCACGGGGGTCCTCGGTGGAGCTCCATATGGGGCCATGAAACTTGTGAGGAGTCCGCCAGAGGGGGGCGGGTAATTACCCATGTGAACCCTGCCACTGGGGCCTTCGGTGGGGCCTTGTGAAACCGCGACACATGTGAGGGGTGTGCCGAAATGAACCCGGGTACGCATGCGAATCCTGCCACTGGGGCTTTCGGTGGAGTTCCATATGGTGCCACGAAACGTGTGAGGGGTCTGCCGTAATGGGGCGGTTTGCGGCATCGATGTGAACCTCGTCTTTGGGGCTTTCGGTGAAGCTCGCTATGATGCCACGACACGTGTGAGGGTTCTGCCGGAATGGGGCGGGTCCCCACTGGGGCCTTCGGTGGGGCCTTATGAGGTCACGAAACATGTGAGCGGTGCGCCGAAATGAACTTGGGTATGCATGCGAACCCTGCCACTGGGGCGTTCGGTGGAGCTCCCCATGGGGACACGAACCGTGTGATGGGTCTGCCGACATGGGGCGGCTGTACCCATGTGAACCCTGCCACTGGGGCCCTCGGTGGAGCTCCATATGAGACACCGGAACGTGTGAGGGGTCTGCCGAAATGATCCCAGGTATCCATGTGAACCCTGCCACTGGGGCCTTCGGTGGAGCTCCCTGTGTGGACACCAAACGTGTAAGGGGTCTGCCGAAATGGGGCGGCGGGTACCCATGTGAACCCTGCCACTGGGGTCCTCGGTGGATCTCCATATGGGACCACGAAACGTGTAAGGCCACTGGGCCGTCAGTGGAGCTCCAGATGGGCACGAAACTTGTCAGGGGTCCGCCGATATGATCCCGGGTGCCCATGTGAACCCTGCCACTAGGGCCTTCGGTGGAGCTCCCTATGGGGCCACGAAACGTGTCAGGGGTCTGCCGGAATGAGGCGGGTACTCATGTGAACCCTGCCACTGGGGCCCTCAGTGAAGCTCCATCTGGGGCCATGAAACTTGTGAGGGGTCTGCCGAAATGGGGCGAGTACCCATGTGAACCTTGCCACTGTGACCCTCGGTGGAGCTCCATATGGGCCCATGACATGTGTGCGGGGTCTGCCAGAATGGAGCGGGTACCCATGTGACCCCTGCCTCCGGAGCTTTGAGGGGTGTGCCGAAATGGGGCGGTTACCCATGTGAACCCTGCCACTGTGGCCCTCGGTGGAGCCCCCTTATGGGCCCATGAAACGTGTGAGGGGTCTGCCAGAATGGAGCGGGTACCCATGTGAACCCTGCCACTGGAGCTTTCGGTGGGGCTTCCTATGAGGTCACGAAACGTGTGAGGGGTGTGCCGACATGAGCCCGGGTATGCATGCGAACCCTGCCAAGAAACATGTGAGAGGTCTGCCGAAATGGGGCGGATGTGAACCCTGCCACTGGGACCCTCGATGGGGCCCCCTATGGGGCCACGAAACGTGTCAGGGATCTGCCGAAATGATCCGGGATACCAATGTGAACCCTGCCGCTGCGGCCTTCGGTCGAGCTTATGGTGCCACGAAACGTGTGAGGGGTCTGCCGAAATGGGGCGGGGTACCAATGTGAACCCCGCCACTGGGGCCTTCGGTCATGGGAACACGAAACGTGTGAGGGGTCTGCCGAAATGGGGCGGGATACCAATGTGAACCCTACCACTGGGGCCTTCGGTGGGGCCTTATGGGGCCACGAAACGTGGGAGGGGTCTACAGAAATAGAGTGGGTACACATGTGAACCCTGCCACTGGGGCCCTCGGTGAAGCTCCCTATGGGGCCACGAAACGTGTAAGGCCACTGGGGCCCTCGGTGGAGCTCCATATGGGTACGAAACTTGTCAGGGGTCCGTCGAAATGATCCTGGGTACCCATGTGATCCCTGCCACTGGCGCCTTCGGTGGAGCTCCCTATGGGGACACGAAACGTGTGAGGGGTCTGCCAGAATGAGGCGAGTGCTCACGTGAACCCTGCCACTGGGGTCCTCGGTGGAGCCCCCTTATGGGCCCATGAAGCGTGTGAGGGGTCTGCCGAAATGGGGTGGGTACCCATGTGAACCCTGCCACCGGAACTTTCGGAGGGGCTTCCTATGAGGTCACGAAACGTTTGAGGGGTGTGCCGACATGAGCCCAGGTATGCATGCGAACCCTGCCAAGAAACATGTGAGGGGTCTGCCGAACTTGGGCGGGTACCCATGTGAACCCTGCCACTGGGGCCCTCGATGGGGCCCCCTATGGGGCCACGAAACGTGTCAGGGGTCTGCACAAATATGGCGAGTACCCATGTGAACCTTGTCACTGTGGCCCTCGGTGAAGCCCCCCTTATGGGCCCACGAAACGTGTAAGGGGTCAGCCGAAATGTGAAAATGTAAAAGAGAAGAGGAGGATGAAGCCTCCTGCGCTGCTAGAGCAGGCGCTAGGGCCTTCGTTGGAGCTCCCTAGGCGGTACGAACCGACTGAGGGGTGTGACGAACATGTGATGATAATGATGAGGGTTGTGATTCATACCAAGATGATGATGCTGACGAGGAGGAGGAAAGGAAAGAAGGAAGGAAGGAAGGAAGGAAGGGGGAGGAGGAGAGGGGGAGAGACGCGCGGCGCTGCGAGTTCAAAACGAGGACCCAACTCCACAGGAGGGTGAGGGAAAAATAGCCATATGATGTCTGGAATCCAGTTCGTTTTTGTTCGCTCCAGACCTCGCAACCCCTTCCCTGGCCTTAGCTTTGCGTCCTGGATGCGTTTTTTTTATGGCCCTGGTGCCCAATAACTTGCCATTGAGGCCGACATGAAAGAAAAAACACCGCGGTCGAAACAAAACACATCGTCTGAGGTTGGATTTTCAGGCCATCAACCAGTTCTCCGCAGGCTGTTCGGGACGACTCAGGCACCCCCAGGACGCTCTCGGCGAGGCGCAGCTGCTGGAAAGCATGCCTAGGCTGCAAGGGCCTCTGGGAACCTGCCAAGGCGCTAGAAGACCAAAGACCTCGACCCTGAACCTGGAACGCCCGAAGAGCAGTCGCCGCGATTGAAAGAAAAACACCTCGCTGGAGGCCTGGCTCCCCTAGAGCTGTCCCAGACCCCCGACGCCAGGAGTTTTTCGCAACGCCGACCCCCAGAGGTCTTGTCCCCAAACCCTAAAACCTTTAATCTCTATAATTATTAAATCCTAAATCCTTCAAAACCGGCCACTATGCAAACCGGCCTCCATCCTATGCAAAAAATACCATTTCCTGATCATGCGCTCTGAGAACTATGTTTTTTACAATGGATCGTGACCGGGTCTATCCGCGGGCCGGGCTGATCCCTGTCAAAAAACACTATATCTTGATCATGCGCATCGAATTTATCAGAATCCTATGTTTTTTTCATACGTTTCGTGCCCAACCGTGGTCGCGGGCGTGGATGCGTACCGGAGTTTTGTATTGAAAAAAATACTATAACCTTAACATCCTGCTCTTGCAAGATGTGTGCATGGTACTATTCTATTGCAAAAATACGACAAAGTGCACAAGCGCGCGTCGGCCGCGCGATCATGGCCAACTCCTTTGGACATTTCAATGTTTTTCAGCACTGGTGTTATGCGACAGCCACGCTAGAGGCTGCGGTTATCCAGATGTTGTGGAACTCGCACAGGTATAGCGAACCATGTAAATATGAGTCACGTGTCCGTGTATACGAACTCGCCCAGAAGAGCTACTTATGCAGTTTGCATAGGTTGCTATGGGCACCCCTATGCTATGCTACGCTATGCTACACGGGCAGCCTATTCCCTGCTGTGCCATGCTATTCTAATCCATGCTATGCCATTCTATGCTACACCATAGGTTCCCGACTTTGTGGTGACCCGATGCTGGGCCATGCTGTGCTATGCTTCGCTTTGCTATGCTCTGCTATGCTACACTATAGGTTTCCCACTTTGTGGGGAACCTATGCTTTGCCATGCTCTGCTATGTTGTGCTATGCTATGCAATGCCATGCTACACTCTATGTGTGTTGGGGGAACCTATGCTTTGCCATGCTTTGCAAAGCAATGCTATACCATGCTATGCTATGCTACAGCCACGCTATGACATGATAGAAGATATGATCTTTATGGGGGGTGGAGATGCGGGGGGGAATGATGGCGACCGCAGGTGGGTTCCGTTGAAGGTTGTAATCGTGGCCTTGCCCTGTTCGACCCTTAACCCTAAACCCTAACACCCTAACACCCTAAAACCCTAAAACCCTAAACCCTGAACCCGTCCCGAGCAGTTTTTTGACGGCCCCGCGGCCCCGCGAGGGAGTTCCCAGAGGCCGAATGCAGGCGAGGCCCATTCCAAGGAACACCCTGCTTGCCTCCAGGGTGCCCTGGGCTTCCTGGGTTTCGATGGTTTTTGCTGTGGACCCGGCAGATCTGGGCAGCGCACCGGAGTCATGACGACATTTAGGGCAGCTGTCCAGCGTCACCTGGCACATCCAGGCAGCGCACACCTTCGGCATCGGCAGGGGCGGCGTGCTCGCCCTCAGAGGAGTTCCACAAAAAAAAAAACGCACCAAAGATCATTGGACGTCCTGGGGTCTCAGGATTGGGTTCCTTGTGGAAGGCTTCTCGTGGAAGGGCCCCCCCTGGAAGTAACTAAAGTCCGTCCGTCGTGAGTTTGGCCACGGCGCGATCGAGGAGGATTGGCTCCCGACCCCTTGGCCAGGCTGGCTTCTCGCTCTGAGTCGCTTCGAGGTTCGAGGTTAGCGAAGTTCGAGGTCGTTGGCGCAGTTGGGCGGAGATCCAGCAGCTCACTGCACTCTGAGGCCTGCAGCGCCTCAGGAGCCTTCGATGGAGTCAGCCGAGGACTCCTTTATGGACCCTCGGCCAACGAAGACGCCCATAAAGGAGGGCGCAAACGTACCTCCACCGTCTTCACACCGTAACCCAAAACACCAGTCAACCAATTACTGATCTTCCTCCATCTGTCGATTGCGTGCCGCCCCAGTGTGCGAGAGCTGATTTAGTGCGCCTGTCCATGTCTTGCGGGCGCTGTGGACGGCCCACAGCGCTTCTTATTGCGCATAAGGTTGCAAATGCAAGATAAGGCGAGCGATCCCGACCGGGGCGCCAGCTGGTTGCCAGCTCCTTGGACTATTGGTTCGAGGTCTGGACCCCTCTGAGGGGTTCAGACCTCTGGGGGTCCACGTTCTGAGAAAAACATGGCGTTGGTGGTCTGGGTTTCTTGCCGCCCTGGGGAGAAGCGCATAGCATTGAGCATCTCTCAAGGCCCATGCCCCCGACGTCATGATTTTCCACGTCGACCCCCAGAGGGCTCGACCCTTTCCCCAGGACTGGCTTTTCGTCTAGAGTCGTTTTTGTTGGCAGTCCCGGGGCCCAGCGAGGGCTCCCGGAGGCCGACAAGAGCAGGAAATTTTCCGTCCTGAATTTTCGATGACGTGAGGCCTTGGGATCCTGCGTAGCGAAACAACTGCAACGTATAAAAGAGCACGACTGGGGCTCCAGACCCAATCTCTCTGTGCAATCTCTGGCCCAGATCGATCTGTGAGGCCCTGGGTCCCGAAGCCGAGCCACAGCGCCCAGCTCGAAAAGCTTGAGACGCCAGGATATCTCAGGGATGCGACGCGGGGGCGGTCCGTCGGACAGGGCCAGGGCGAGGATCAATCCGCTCCAGAGCGTTCCGGAACGCTCTCAGAGCGTTCTGGAACGCTCTCGGAAGGCCGCGGCGCCCGAGACATGCTCCAGAGCCGCCGGATCTCTGAGATCCTCGATGCGTCCTCACGCAAATGTCTCTTCGCCCGCTCCGTCTTGGTCCTGGCGCCCCCAGCGGTGGCCTGCCCGCGAGGCGCCCCGGGCGTGTGGGCCCTTCCTGCTGCCGAGCGACGGGCGGGCGCCCGTGCGGCTGCCGCCCGAGGCCGTGCCGCGGCCACCCGCGCCGCGGCCGGGCTGACGGGCCGCGGCTGGGCGGCCGCGCCGCGCACGCCGCGGGCCGCCGAACCCCGCCGCGCCCGCCGCGGGCCGCCGCGGCCAGGCGGCCGCGGCCGCGCCGCGGCCAGGCAGCCGCGGCCGCGCCGCGCCCGCCGCCGGCCGCCGCGCCAGGGCCGCCGCACCCGCCGCGAGCCGCCGCGCCGCGACCGGGGCCGCCGCGCCTCGAACAGGGCGCGGGCGGCCGCGGGCCGCCGCACCCTGAGTTCAAAAGGCGCTGCAAGCTCGTCTTTTTTTCGGAGGCCTGAAGGCTGGCACCATCACCAGCATCGGTGGTACGCCTCCGCCGAAGAAAGATGACCCCGATCTCGGTGCTGGTGGCAATGTTCGGGCTTCTTAGGTGGCCGAACTATTGCCACCAACACCGAAGTCTAGGATCATCTTCCCCCAGTGAAGGCCCCCCCTGTGTTGGTGTTGGTGTCCACGTCCAAGCCTCCGATCTCTAGGCCTCCCAGATGGGGTCCAAGCACGGTCGGACCGAGGTCCAAGATCGAGGTCGGTTGGGGGAGTGTGCCCTTTTGTTCTTCGTGTTTGTTGGATGTTCCTGTGCATCCTGGGAAGGGTGCCCTTGGATGTTCTGCTTGTTTTTGGCAGACGGATGGTCTGATGTTCTTCAGATGTGCTCTTCTGGCCTAGGTCCGACTGCAGATGGGGTCGGAGGATCGCGCCGTATCGCCGATGTATCGGCGATGCGGCTCAATGTGGAGCCCGATCTTCTCCACGCCGATGCATCGCTGATGCCGCCGGTGTATCGATGCATCGCCAACGTTTTGGCGATTGATATCGCCGATGCATGGACGATGCGGCGCGATCCTCCGACCCCCCATCTACAAGACTCGTCAGGTATACATTGGCGGTTTGTTGGTTTCTGTGTTTGCGTGGTGGGCGCTGCTTCAATGATGGCACGAGGCATTCGGCCCAGACGCAGGGGTGTCCGAAATCCGGCAGCCGGCAGCACCCTCACAGCATTGAAGAACGCGTTTCTGTCAAGTGCCCGAACCACGGAGCGCTTCGATTTTGAGCAGCGCTTCAGCTTATGTTTGACGAGGCTTGGAGGAGGGCTCCACACATGGCGTTGTGAGTTCGTCTCGGCTGGCATGCTCTGCTTCGGGCGTCGGGCCCCACGGCCCACCGCGGGTCGAACTCGAGCTGGCTCGAGGAGAGTGGCGCCGAGATGTAGCAGGTCCATGGTCGGGCCGAACGAAAGGGGGGGGATACGTTGAAGTCGAGCCTGTCCCCCTACAGGAGGAATATTCGAAAATTGTGTGAAAATACGGTGGGGACGATTTTAGGACTATTTCTGACTAGTCTTAATGTTTGTACGATTTTAAATATATCTCACAACATCCGCCTGTAGGGAGACATGTCCGACCTAAAGCTGGATCGAGGAGTGGCGCCGAGATGTAGAAGGTCCATGGTCGGGCCGAGTGAAAGGGGGAGCTACGTAGGACAATGGGGGGCTGCGACATCTGCTGCATGCAGCTGGTTCCAGCCCCGCCGCCAGGCCCATCCTTCGACACACGTGGGCCCCTCACGGCGCCAGGAGGTGCCAGGGAAAAACTAGCGCTGCGTGAGCCGATGCTCTTCCCTGCCCTTCGCTGTCCTCCCCTTTCGCCCCCCCCCCCCGACGTGGGCGCCGGCTGCGATTCTGCGCGGTGCTCTGAATCCTTTGTCGCAGCGTCGGATCTCAGGGCGGGCAGCCCGCGCCGCGGCGGGGCTGACCCGACGCGGCCGCGGCGGCCCGCGGCGGCCCGCGGCGCCCGAAGAGGCAAGGGCCTCGGGTTTTCCAGGGCCCCCTCGCGGAGGAGGAGGAGGAGGAGGAGGAGGAGGAGGAGGAGGAGGAGGAGGAGGAGCACCCGCTCCCCGTGGCAAAACTCACGACGGCGGGTGTTTTTTGTACTTTTCGGCCTGCGGGGGGGCCTCCGCTGGGCCGCGAGGCCGTCAAAAACGGCTCAGGATGAAGAGCAGATCCCGGTGGACAGGTCGAGGCCCATGGGGATCGACGCTGTGAAACAAGAACAAGACTTCTGGGGTCTGTGTCTCGGGCGTTCTTGGGCACTACGAGGCTCGGCGTTCGAGGATCGAGGTTCGAGGGCCGAGATGCGAGCATCGAGGTCCTCATGGACACCTCAGGGTTCCCCCCAGATCCCGGCCAGAACGCACCTTGCAGGGCAGGTCCAGGAGACGGCCTCTGACCCCAGAGACCCACACCCCCGAGACCTAAACCTCGGCAGAGCTTTCGGGCGTCTCAGGTTCGAGATCGAGGTCCCATATATGGGACCTCGACCTCGAACCCGAAACCTCGACCCATTTATCTCGCAACCATTCTGCCGCGGCCGCAAGCTCGCGCGCGGACAATGGCACCGAGACTGTTCAGCTTCCCGCCAAGGCGAATTCGCTTCGTGCGTTTTTGTCGTGCGCCACCCCGTCGCGGGGTGGTGGTCATGATAATGCTGCGTACCGCAGATTCCCCAGCGTTTCTGCAGATTCCAGAGGCTCTCCAGCAGCCGCGCCGCGCCGAGCGAGCAGCGTCCCGAGCGGCCGCCAGAGGCCCGAGCCTGGGCCCCAGACCGCCGACGATGTGTGTGTGTGTGTCTTGTGTGTGTGTGTGTGTGCGTGTGTGTGTGTGTGTGTTGTGTGTGTGCGTGTGTGTTTTGTGTGTGTGTTGTGTCTTGTGTCTTGTGTGTTGTGTGTTGTGTGTTGTGTGTTGTGTGTTGTGTGTGTGTGCGTGCGTGTGTGTGTGTGATTGTGTGTGATTGTGTGTGTGTGTGTTTGTGTGTGTGTGTGTTGTTCCCGGTCTTGGCGCTGTTTCCGTCGTGTGGGCCTCGGAGGCCGTCCCGCACGTATCGTGTAGAGGCAGGACCCCGCCGAAGGAGAGCCGGTCAGTGATTGGTCCCCGAAGCCCAAGATATGAATTCGAATCCCTAACACGGGTCTGCGGTAGCTGTTTTTTCTCTTCGTGTGACTGCAGTTCCGGTTAGTGGAATGGGGCAGGATGGGGGCGTCCCCCAGTACACATCAGTCAACCAGGTCCCGCTAAACCCAGCCCCGCCAATGCCCACATGTATCCAGGGGTTGCTAGAGGGGCCCCGTGGCCCAAGGTGCCCCCAGCTGTTCGTTCAATTCTGGAGCCCCTGAGGCCCCTTGGGCGTCCTGAGGGGTGCTCTGGAGGCCGTGGGGGCCTCCCTGGGAAATCCTGAGGGCACCTTGGGCCAGGGGCACTCCTGGCAACACCAGGTGCTTCTGGGACGCAAGACTACGCCCGGGGAAAGGCTCAGGAGATCTGGGGCCGCGGATTGAAGCATATTCTCGGCGGATGCCTGGGCTTTCGGGTGTTGATTGGTTGTTCCTGCTCGTCGGCTTGCGTTCCCGCAGTACGTTCTGGGGCGCCCGCAGTCGTTGCTCCGAACGGACACTTTGGCTATGGCCCGGAGTCTGAGGCCAGGAAGACGACCGCTCACCGGTGTTCCGGCTCTGAAGGTCGAGAAGGCCAGGCTTGGTCAAGACAAGGGCGAGTTTTTTGTCGCAGTCTTACGTCGGGCACGTCCCTCTACAGGAGGAATATCCAAACATAGTCAACAAATAGTATGAGGACGGTGTTCTTTTTGTTGTTGTTGTATGTTTGAATATGTTTTACTATGTTTAATTGTCCGTCCACAATCACCCTGTAGGAGGACATGCCCGACCTAATCGCAGTCATTTTGGCTCAAGGATTTTGCGCCCGAGCCAGGCACTTTTGAGTGCAGGCTGTAGCTCGGCCCTGCGTCGCCCTTTCGCGCGCACGTGCTTCGACCCGATGGAGCTGCAGCCCGACGTCCAAGTAGCGGGTGCCAGCGGCGATGACGTTCAACCATTTTTGCCGCCTCCAGCACAGAGCGGCAAGAAATGGCTCCGTGCCGCGCTTGGAGCCGCAGTGGTCGTAGCTGTCGCCACGGCGTCCGTCATGACTTGCAGTCACCAGAAGCTCCGAGCGGAGCCTGTCAACTTGTTCGCGACGCGCGCGACGGAGTTGGCCAGCACCATCAAGCCCTTGAAACCGCGAAAAGTATGTGCTTCGGGCAAAGAGAGTTGCTTAGACTCTGGCTGCTGCAAGCAGACCGGCGCAAAATGTTTCAAGATGGATGAAGAGCACGCTTGGTGCAATATGACTTATGCTAAGGGGAAGGGTTGGTCCTGCGAGGACATTACTGCCACCAAGGGTGAAGTGACAGCAGAAAACCCAGGCACGATGCTATACTGCTACGCTGTGCATTTCCACGATAACCGTGGCAAGCCCAACCATGAGCTGGATCTGTTGAAGATGCAAATGCAGAGGGGGCTGGGTATATTTGCGTGCGACGCGTACGAGGTCTTCAGCGACGTGCAACTCTTGGTGGGCGACTACGAAGCAGTGAAGGTTGAAGATCTCGAGGGGGACTTTTGCAAGTACACGCGTCCAGATACCGGATCGTGCGCCAATGCGGCCATATTCTATCAAGTGTGGCAGTTGATGCGTGGAACAAGTGCTGTGCGGAGTAAGGTGCAAGACAAGAATTGGGTGATCAAGGCAGATATCGATGCCGTGTTCATCCCGCAGCGCTTGACGGACATGCTATCGCAAATGGGGGAGCCAGACGTAGGAGTCTATTATGGCCACAAATGGGTGCTCCAGGAGGCGTCCGAGTACAACCTTCTGTTCATGTGCCTGAACTCGGTTGTGGTGACGTCGCTCTACAGTGAGAGCGAGGCGAAGTACTCAATCAATATCAACTTTCACGGTGGAATGAATATCCTGATCAATTTCACTACATATACTTTCAAGGATGTCCATGGGAGTGACATCTACCAGTATTGGGAGAGTTATGTGGTGTTCTGTTCTGAGCAGTACGGACTCAAGTTTTGCTACCAATGGTTGGTTCGCCACCGTGATTGGAACAAACTGCAGCATGCACTTCATGGCAATGGATC